GGAATATTTTTCTTTGAACCAAATATTGTTTGTAATGGTTGATGGTCTGTAAGTAGAGTAAATCTTTTACCAAAAATAAAATCTCTAAATATTCTAACTGAAAAAATAATAGCTAACGCTTTCTTTTGTATATGAGCATAGTTTTGTTTAGACTTGGACAATGTTCTAGAGATAAACATTACTGGGTGCTCTACTCCATTAATAATATGGCTTAGAATCCCACTAACACCATAAGGTGATGCATCGCAGGCTATTACCATAGGTAAGTTTGGGTTGTAGTGTACCAAGGCTTTACTATTAGCAATCATTTGCTTGCTATCCTCAAAACATTTTTGGCATTCAGGTGTCCATTCAAATGGTACATCCTTTTGTTGCAAATTATATAATGCTTTAAGCTTATCAGCAGCCATTGGCAAGAATTTATGGTAATAATTAAGTAGGCTCAAATAAGATTTTAATTGGGTAATATTGGTAGGTGAGGGTGCTTTTAAAATTGCATCAATTTTTTCTTTTAATGGCTTATTGCCCTGTTTATCTACGGTGTGACCTAAATAATCTACACTAGACATAAAAAATTACATTTTTCAAAGTTAACTTTTAGATTATAATCAGACAAACATTTAAGTACTAGTCTTAAGTTATGTTTAGCTTCTTCAAAAGTTTTACTTCCAATAATGACATCATCAATATAGCATGCCACTAAAGGTAAGTCTTTCAAAATAGTATCCATAACTGCTTGGAACAGAGAAGGTGCTGCTGACACACCAAATGGCTATCGTGTGAAACGAAATAATCCAATATGTGTGTTGATTGTCAACAAATGCTGACTTTCTTCAGCAACCTTTAGTTGCAAGTAGGCATTAGACAAATCTAAAATTGTAAAAAATCCACTACCAGCCACTTTATAATAAATATCTTGAATTAAGGGTAATGGATAATGTTCTGTTTTTAACATTGGTTTTAAAGTTACCCTAATATCCACACATATAAGGAGTTTCTGACCATCTTTCCTTGGAATTACTACTACTGGACTAGCCCATTCACTATGACGTACAGGTACAATGATGCCATACTTTTGCATCTCAGCCAGCTCCTTTTCTACATTTTCTCTTAAGGAATAAGGAACGGAATAAGCTTTGTGAAATACAGGTGTAGAATTTTCTTTGAGGACCAAGCTTACCTGAAAATCCTTTACAAATTCGGATCTATCCTGACTAAAAATATTAGGAAAATACTTTTGATATTTTTCAATCTCTATAGAAAATTCATTTACCACATTAACTACATTATTGTCTAAAATTACCTTTCTCCATTGAGGCATCAGCTGATCTAACCAACTGCGACCTAACAATGGTGTAAATTCATTTTGTGAATCTACCACAATTATTGGTAATAGTTTTGTTATTTTAGTATCTGACTCTACTCTAACATTTACAGTTCCTATGACTTTAATATTATCCCCTGACACAGTTATCAACTTTGATTTACATTTATACAATGACAATTTTTAAAATTTTTCAAGGAATATTTTCTTTGACGTAATGGTTACACTTGCACCAGTGTCAATTTAAAACAATATAGGTACTTTTTCAACTTTGATTTTTTTTAATAATGAGTCATTCACCTTTTTTATTTCCTGATTTTGACTTAAAAGACTGTTTAAATTATGAATTGTACCTACCTTGACGGAAAACAATGTCTGACTCTTACCATCTTTACTTACTACCCTAATTTCATTTAAATCTATATCCTGACCTTGGTAACGATTTACTGCCTTTTCTAGGGTTTCTACCACAGAGTAGATGGAGCTAATTTTGAATTCTTCCTCTTCACTAGCTGTTTCTTCCTCTTCTATTATTTCCTCCTCAACTTGATGGACTTTTCTTCGACATATCTTTGATGTATTCCCTTTTTTATGGCATATAAAACATTCCCACTCTCTTGCTGGACATGTATTAGGATTATGGAAACGCAGGCATCGAAAACATGACTTTTTCGGACTAAATTTATGACTACTTCGACATGAACTAGTTTGACTATCTGACATGTGTGTCCCACGTTGACTTTTGAGAGACATTTCTTTGAATTTATTTTTTTCTTTAAGGTTTACCTTATTTACTACATCTGGTACCATATTCTTAATGTGACTTTCAGTGATTTCTATACTTTGAGCTATTTGATAGGCTCTACCAAACGTTAACTCATCTTCAGACAACAATTTCCTCTTACAGCTTTCTGATTTTAAGCCACATACCAGCTTATCACGCAGCGCATCATTAAGGAAATCTCCAAATTGGCAGTGTTTTGCCAGGTTTTTTAATCTTTCTGCATACATTGCTAAATCTTCATGACTTTCTTGTTTGGCATTATAAAAGGTATAACGTTCATATATGACTAACCTCTTGGGGTTATAGTGAGTCAAAAGCGTATTTTTTAACTGGACGTATGTTCTTGTACTAGGCGCTTCTGGTGACAGTAAATTCTTTAAAACAGTGTAGGCCTCGCCCCCTATTAATGTAATAAACGTTGGGACCTTATGTTGATCTTCGACTTTGTTACATAAAAAGAGCTGTTCCATTCGTTCGATGTATGTGGTTATATCTGACTCCTTTGGCTTAAAATGCTCAATACTGCCAATTAATGCCATTTTTTCTCTTAACAGCAATAACTGCACCTCACAATTTACTTTTTAGACAAGTTCTTGTTATACTTTTAAGAACAGACAATTCCTCTATCTCGTCGCCAATGAAATATATTTGACTTACTTCAGACGTTGGGACAGACAAACGAGGAGACTACTTTCATTATTTATTTTTGTATTAACTTTACAACGAAATCAAAATACAAGACAAGACCCTCATCGCTGACAATTGACAGTCAGACCTCGTTCGTAACCGTCTATTGCCAACCTTCAGTAGTGGCTACTGTTCGTAGATCCGGAACATAACACCTCTAAAATATTTTTACTAGATATTAAATATCTTGTAAACATAAAATAGATATTCTTACCTACTCTCGAAGATTAGGATACGTGAAAGTCCCTGAATCACTATATTTGATGAGGTAATATTTACTGATATTATTAAAGGTGGCCCTATAATATCGACATCCGAGATTTTGTCCAGATTCCACATATTTTATTGTTTTTTCAATACATGCTTGATTGTCTTTTGCCAATTTTCCTTCGTAACAAGTCTGTGGTCAACGCTTAAAAAGTGATAAGTCGATATTACACATTTTTGGAAAATGGCGCTGGAAAATTTTGAGACACGTCAATAAGGATTTTTAGAATCCAAATCGACGATTTTTTTAGGAGATTTGATCCTGTAAAAATTAAAAAATATGTACACATATTTTGTTTTAACTGTTTCATGTTACAAAATTTGACTGTTTATGTTTACTTATGACGTTTTGTCTTTCGTGGTTACCCTTGTATATATATGTATATGTTTTTTGTACCTTATTTTAATTACTTTACAACGTATATAGACTTAGATCCTTTTAACTGCCTAAAATATACACTCTTCTAAACGTATCTTGACTAAAACTACATTTACCTAAAAAAACGACTTACAACCTTTTAAGCGCCGGCCACAGAAGTGATATCGAGGTTTCTAACAATGCTTCTACATCTTCTAACTTAATTGTCATATTATGTCGACCTACACATCCTTTAACTTGTGCTGGTATCAGTTCAATAGGATTTAATTTGTAATGATAGGGAGGAAGACGCACAACATCAATAGTATGTGTTTTTGCAATTTATCCACTACATAACGTACTGGAGGCTTATTTAATTTCGCAATTTCTAGTAGTTATATTTTTATTGATTTTTCTGGAAAGATTATGTTTCTCTCTGTTAGCCACTTAATGATATCACCTTCCTTATATGAAGTATTTAGCACACGTTTAAATAGACGGGAATGGTAACTAGCTTTCCATTACTATAACTGAATCCTTCGGTAAATGTTTTATCATCTGCTGAAAATATTCTTCAAAAACATCAGCGTTCATATCTTTATGGTAGTCTCCGGTTTTTTAGATTGAAATATTAAAGAACCACGTTTTGAAAACCCGTCATCACTTCCAATATGAGTGATAATTAGACGTTGTTCTTTACTGGAAGGAACCTTAATACCTGTAGATAATCCTTCCAAAAAGCCTGTTGTGAAGATTGAATGTTTGTGTCCTGTCACATTTTGCTAACTGTGTAACTTTCATTCACCCAGGTTTCGTCCAAATAAAATATTTTTTTGCCTTCTGCACGAAATTTAAAAATGGTTCTGAGGTATCTCCGTCTTCAACAAACAATTTCCATGTTGATTTGATTACACCCATCATATTACTTGTTTTTTCAACAGTATCGTAAACAAAAAGCGAAGGATTTTCCATTCTTAGGCAATTATAACCATTGCTTACAAATATTTTCTCGTTAACTGACAACGAACACTTTTTTATACGTTTCACAGGTGTAAACTTTTAACTTGAACAACACTGCATCTTTCAATACTACTGTCACTATTAACCGAAAATAACTACAACTTCTTACTATAATAGATAATATAAAAGACTAATCAAACGAAGTAGGTAATATTGGGAACTGATCAAGATACTAACTGCAACTGCCTATCTTATCTTTATACCAAATCCTAGGTAGGTAACCATCTTATAATCCCACCCCCTTGTTATCATTTTGGTTTTCCATGGCATTAGTAATCTCCTAGAACGATTAAGTCTTAGACTATAGATTTCTTAACATCAAAAATTTCCAAGAGGTCAATGACGAATAACGATTTAAACCATTTTATGTAGGTATACCTAATAGTCAAATCTATAAGTCTTGAAAAATATTTGTTATATACCTGGTTGATAATTTACTTAAAGATATAACTCTATCTTTTACATAACATTTGCAAATAACTCAAAAAAGATTTTGTAAGGTACCTACATACCGTAATAATACTGAATATGTATCCAAAAATATTTTATGTACCCCGTAAATAATAATATAGGCACCCACACCTACTATACCTTAGTTATTTTCTAGACACCTTCCCATAATAAGTAATCAATGATTTTCTCATATGTTTTCTCTCTCACGTATTCGTTGATTGACTCATTTTTGGATTTTTGCACCTCTCTTCGTAGCTGTTGTGTAAATCCATTTACTACGTCTTCATTTCTCACTCCCTGCCACTCTTTTTAAGTTTCTCTTTTTTTGTATTAAATGTTGATAGTGTCGCTGTGTAGTGCAATAATTCAGATCGTTCTTGTTTTTAGGAACATAATTAATGGATAATCATACAAACTATTATATTTAAAATGTTTTATTAATATTTGATGAAAGCAGAGAAAGAATATTTATTTCTTTTATATTTGATGAATATGTTCCTTTTAAATTTAAGTACAAATAATAAAAATTAAGTAAAAATTATGTATTATAGAAAAAATATTTTATCATGATTCCTATTAATACCCGTGAGTTTGGTAACCACCACTATGAGCTCCACCATATCCTCCTGAGCCTTTATGTGAAGAACCTCCATATCCACCACTATGACCTCCATCTAAACCTCCTCCATGAATACCTCCAGCTGAACCGCCGGTTCCATAACCACCACCTTGCCCAGATCCTCCAAATCCACCTGATCCGTGGCCACGATCAAAACCACTATCATAACCGCCCCCATACCCAGATCCGCCTGCTCCACCACCTCCGTGACCACCATCAAAACTGCCTCCATTCGTGAGTTTTCCTGACGTGCTTCCTCCATGGCCACCTCCGGTTTTAAACCCGCTTCCATGTCCAGATCCACCTAAACCACCTGCTCCGTGGCTACCATCGAAACCACTGTCAAAATCGCCTCCATGTCCAGATCCACCTGAACCACCTGCTCCGTGGCTACCATCGAAACCACTGTCAAAACCGCTTCCATGTCCAGATCCACCTAATCCACCTCCATGGCCAGATCCACCTAAGCCACCTGCTCCATGGCTACCATCAAAACCACTATCAAAGCCATTACCATGTCCAGATCCACCTACTGATCCATGACCACCTAAAACAATAAAACAAATAGTTAATAAAAATGGAGTAATGATGGACAAGTAATGTTTTTTTTAAGTAATGTTATTTGTGAACAGGTTGTTATTTCTGTTTGTTTATAAAATAACAGACATGTTCAAAATAACACAGGTTGTCAGTCATAATCCCCTATAATTTGTTTCTTTTATCTAAGCCTATAATACTACTACTAATACTACTACAGTAAAGTTGTTGTTAATAAATTGGGAACAAACTGAATTTTGGATATTGTTCTAAAAGGTAAATTCCAAAATTAGCTCATCCCCACCTGCTACGGAAACTCCATTATCTTATAAAAAATAAATTAATTTTTCTCGATTTCTATTGGTCGGAGGCAAAAACGTAAAAAGAGTTCGAAACCAGGGTATGTGTTTTGATAGGGAAATTTGGGCGGTCTCCAATGAGGTTGAATACTATGGAGATGACATGCCAAAAAAAAACGACACCCCTTAAAATATCTAATTTAAGTTTTCATAAGTAAGTATAAGGAGTGCATTTAGAATTTTTTTTAGATTACTTAACTTTTTTTTATTATAGGTTTCCAAAAGACCCACAATATCTCAAAATTTGGTCTAAATTTGTGGTAAAAGACCAATTTGAGCCTAAACCGAATGGCATGTTGTGCTCTATTCACTTTAAGAAAGAATTTTTTAATAAGAGTGGGTTTAGGGTCAGATTGAAGAAGAATGCTGTTCCGACAATAAATGAATGTTTAGTTAGTATACACTTTATTTACAATAAAAGTTAAATAACTAACTTAATAAAGAACATTGGCTTGACTAACTTTATAATAAAGACAAATAACTATAATAAAACTTAAATAACTAACTTTATAATTTAACTTAAAAACCAACTATAATTAAACTTAAAAACCAACTTATAATTAAACTTAAAAACCAACTTATAATTATACTAAATGACTAACTTTTTAAGTAACACATAATTTAGAATAAAATTTCAAGCATTTAAAAGCAGTTTTTATTAGATCCTAATTTCCTATTATTATACCGTTTTGATAATGAATATACTGTATAATAATAAATATTGGTGATGTATTTTTATTATTTAATTAGATTTGTGGCCATCACTCACTGCTATGTACCGCCTCATTCTCATGATATAAATAATTAATATTAATATTAATATTAATATATTTATCGACAGATTCAAGAAAAATACATGTAGATATTATTGTAATTATTTTCAGATAGAGGTTTCTTATAATTGAATTGCAAAAGATTTCGTGAATTCAGGATGTCAAATAGAATGTTCATTTTTCTAATAAAATTAATTGTCGCCCCAACATTTTTAAAATCTTCAATATGTAGAACGTTCGCACAAAAATCTAAGGCAGTTGCGACGCTTTCGCTAAATAGTTGGGTTGCAAGACGAACTTTCATTTTTTGTTTTTTAAAAGCTATATGTTGCGAGTTTAGCTTATTTGCTAAGTGGAAAGATTCATTTTCCTGTAATTCGTGAAGTTGTTTGAAATACTTCCACTCAACAATTTTATTTTCTTCATTTACAAATGAATACTTTTCTGCTAAAGTATTTCTAATTAACTTTAGCATATGTGGCGGATCTAAAAATATAACAATTTCTTCATTATTTGATGGATGCTAGAAACTAGTTTTTAAAGTTGTATGATGTAAATTACAGCCCAAGAGTTTGGCCATTGTTAGATTATTAGAAGCACCATCAAATGTTAAACTTACAACACTAACACCTACTTCATAACATTTCTTTAAGCATTCTAATACCAGCCCCTTTTTCTGTTCACCTGTCATACTTGAAATTAAAAAATATCCTACTGGAATTTTCCAGCTTCCATTTACACAATTTAATAAGAAAACAAGAGCATTGTTTGCAAGCCTAGTTTCATTTGCACCCGTTCCTACATCTACACAACCATAACTTTTTCATTGGAAGAATTTGATTTAATCTGTAGGGAATTGAAAGCCTCACTTGTGAATCCAGGCTCATCTTTTATACTTTGATACCATCGACTGATTGTACAGACATGTGATAATATTAATATTAATATTAATATTAATATTAATATTAATATTAATATTAATATTAATATTAATATTAATATTAATATTAATATTAATATTAATATTAATATTAATATTAATATTAAATGAACAAACATTAAATTGATGTTCCTTAATTTAAAAACCTGCCGACTTTGTTCACAATACATAATAAATATAATTTAAAACATATTACGAAGTTAATGATATTTAAAAATTAGTAGTTTTGGAACTTAAACTAGTAGTTTTTGTATCATGGATCTATGTTTAAGGCTTTAAAATATACCAAATATTGTTCCAGACTAACCCATCCATACCTACACCTCCTCCTCCTCCAAAAATCAGGATCCTATCGAATATTCTTATTAAACCAGCAAATCAAACCAGTCAGATCGAATTACCTGTACCCTCTACTTCTTCTCTAAATATTCCATATGAAGAACCGCTGATGCCAAAGAAACAAAACTATTACATACACTCTCCTCTGTCCGGGCAACAAGTGCAAAAAGAAAGAAAAAATTAAAATTGCTAAGACGACAACTTTCTCGAAAAGTGAATAAAATTGCCAACTTAAAAAATATATTAAATGATTTAAGTAAAAAACGTTTGATATAGGAAGATGAGTTAGAAATAATGTCAAAACTCGGGGGCCCCATCGAGATATGTAGCAGGCAATTAAAAAAAAGTATAACCTACCATTGCCTAAGAAGTATTCAGAAGAGCTAAAAGTGTTTTCCTTAACTCTCCACTATTACTCACCTGCTGCTTATAATTATGTAAGAAGAACATTTGACACTTGCTTATCACATGTCTGTACAATCAGTCGATGGTATCAAAGTATAAAAGATGAGCCTGGATTCACAAGTGAGGCTTTCAATTCCCTACAGATTAAATCAAATTCTTCCAATGAAAAAATAATTTGTTCCCTTATTATGAATGAAATGACCATTCGTCAACATGAGGAGTTTGTTGGAAGCGAACGTAGAAGTTATGGTTGTGTAGATGTAGGAACGGGTGCAAATGAAACTAGGCTTGCAAACAATGCTCTTGTTCTCTTATTAAATTGTGTAAATGGAAGCTGGAAAATTCCAGTAGGATATTTTTTAATTTCAAGTATGACAGGTGAACAGAAAAAGGGGCTGGTATTAGAATGCTTAAAGAAATGTTATGAAGTAGGTGTTAGTGTTGTAAGTTTAACATTTGATGGTCCTTCTAATAATCTAACAATGGCCAAACTCTTGGGCTGTAATTTACATCATACAACTTTAAAAACTAGTTTCAAGCATCCATCAAATAATGAAGAAATTGTTATATTTTTAGATCCGCCACATATGCTAAAGTTAATTAGAAATACTTTAGCAGAAAAGTATTCATTTGTAAATGAAGAAAATAAAATTGTTGAGTGGAAGTATTTCAAACAACTTCACGAATTACCGGAAAATGAATCTTTCCACTTAGCAAATAAGCTAAACTCGCAACATATAGCTTTTAAAAAACAAAAAATGAAAGTTCGTCTTGCAACCCAACTATTTAGCGAAAGCGTCGCAACTGCCTTAGATTTTTGTGCGAACGTTCTACATATTGAAGATTTTAAAAATGCTGGGGCGACAATTAATTTTATTATAAAAATGAACATTCTGTTTGACATCCTAAATTCACGAAATCTTTTGCAATTCAATTATAAGAAACCTCTATATGAAAATAATTACAATAATACATGTATTTTTCTTAACTCTGTCGATAAATATATTAGTTCTTTAAAAACACATGCTGATGCTAAACTTCTATTAGAAACTGATAGATCCACTGGCTTTCTAGGTTTATAAATATGCATTGCAAGCCTAAAATTACTATTCAATAATTTAATTGTAGAAAATAAGTTTTTAAACTTTTTGCCTTTGTACAAAATTTCACAAGACAATTTAGAATTATTTTTTTGTTCAATACGGTCTCATGGAGGTTTTAACAATAATCCTACAGTCAGGCAATTTTAGTCTGCATATAAAAAAAATTTAGTTCATGTTGAATTAGGAGATAGTTTCCGTGGAAATTGTATTCCTTTGGAGAAATTAACTATTTTAAAGTGCAATATAACAAGCCAGTTAAATGTTACTTTAAAGGAATATGCAATGTCTGATAATATTGACGATTTTGAGAAAGTGAATGTTATTGAAAATGATCATAATTATTTACCAGATCCAGTCTCCTCCTTTTTTAAATATATAATCACTTACATTTCTGGATATGTTGTTTATTATTTAAAAAAGAAAATCATTTGTGAACAATGTCTAGATGCTTTAATTAGTAAAACTAGAGATTTGTTTCTATTTTCATTCATTGATATAAAGAATAAAAATGGTTTGCAATATCCATCGGAATATGTAATAAAAATTTGTTTAAAATGTGAAAAAATATTAAAAATTATGAAAGACTCTAAGAAAAAAATATCAGTTGATATCATCAGCACATTAGTTTTAAAAGAATTCATAAATTCTAATGTCTTTTCGAATATTATGCAGCACAGTTTAAACCAGTTTGTGTTGGATAATCATAGAATATTATTAATTAAGTGCATAGTTGATAAATATGTTAGTATCCGACTAACATATCTCACTAAAACTAGAGTTAATAAAGCTGCTAGCATAAGACATCAAAACAACAAAATAGTGTTGATTAAAGGTCAATAAATATTTTTTTAAATAATAAATTTTTTTTTGTAATGTATTATTAAGAATGGGACAGAAAAACTGAAGAGATACCTATTATTTTACCAAATTTGGCAAGTTTTTGGTGTCATAAGATACGTTACACTTATTTGAACTATAATTATATTTTTTTTGATGTTTTTTAAGTAAATCATATAGGTACTTTTGTTGGGAACTTATAAGAAACTTCAAAATTAAAATGAAGAATATTCGCATTCTAAGCATAGTCTTAT